GTTTCCCCCTCCCACTACTGCATGCTGTCACCATATACATCCTCTTTGTGGGCTTATCAGGCTGTTTCAAATTAAATCAGGTTGGGTTTGCCCCATCACCAATCCCCCTTCCTTGCAACCAAGTCATAGTGGCAGGATGTTCCAGAAACTCACTTGTTTTTGTTTCCCCATCTGTAAGCTGAAGACTTTGACCTCTGTCATGAAGAACTCTTGAGTTGTACTGGTGAAAAGTACTATACAAGAGTATATATTTTTGTTATAGCTGTGATGCTATATGAATGCTCTTACTGTGTGTGCTTCTATATTTTAAATATTTCTTCTGCTTGGAAGAGCAAAGTAGTAGGCTAATATCACCAATTCTAGTCCTCACTAACAGATGACTAAAATACATGCTTCAGAACAACTACGTGGGTATTCTCGCTATCATCCATGGGACTATTCACTTGATACAGTGAGGGATCTGGATATTTGGGCTTCCCTTTTGGCCTTTCAAAGTCCAAAAATATTTTGTCTTGAAGTTTATTTTTATTTATTAAGAGTTTTGGCACATACTTTTGTGTGCATGTGTGTTCTGTAATACAACACATAGCCTTTAATTCCCCAAGAAAACCTCAAAGTGCAGCGCTCCAATGACATAATGTTTCTTTAGGAAAGAACTGTGGCATATGTGGCATCTGTATCATGCAATATGAGGTTATTATGGCAAGCCTGAATATTTATGGGGTGCAGGAGTACTAAGTGATATATATATATAAAAATAATTAAAAAATCAGACATAAAAAATTCCAGAGCTCAGTAGAGAATTGTTAACTTAGAAGTCACACCTCAGCCTTTTTTTTTTCTTTTTTTTTTCTTTTCTTTTCAACTGTTTCTTATTACAAGCAGCCTTTCAATTGCTTTAGTTGAAAGAAATTATAGAAAATCCACTCTCTGGGTTTTTTTTGGCATGCTAATTTGTCTGTTTGCCAGCATTTTTCTCCTTGCTGGTTTTACCTTTCCCCAGTGCTAATCATTTTCTCTCCTATTTGCCTCAGGTCTCCATGCAGCAAGAGGAGAAACAGGTTTTGATTCTGTGGTTCATTTTTTTTTAATAGGGAAATAGCTTGTAAATTCCATCACCTTTTCAAGCTCTAAATATTGGCTGGGGAACCTGAGGCAGCAAAACAACCTGATTCTACTTAGAATGTGATTGTCTAAGGCTGCAAAGTAGAGAAGGCTGTATAAAAAAGACTTAAAGCATGGTATCATACTCAGATTTTTAGGCCAGGATGGGTCAATATGGCCTGTTAGTCTGCTCTTCCCTAGAATGCGAGTCATATTTCTTGCATTTACACCTGCTTTTCAGCATATGAAACTCAAACTTTATATTATGTTACGCAATATTAACAATTATCAAAGCTGGCATATTGTTTTTGATCAAGATAGAGATTACACTGTGGCTCTGTTGTATTTAATCTACTGCATAAGGAGTTGCCATTTTAAAGGATAACTACCTACAATTTTTAATGGAAACTCCTTATTTGTTAGAAACTTGTTTGCACTGGTTGTTCATTAAGCATTACAGTGTAATTGTTCTGACTGAACACTTAATAAATAATAGCCTAGTCTATATTCTTCATGTTTATTTGATATATTTTCCAGGTTTTGTTTTTGTTTGTTGGTTTGTTTTGCAGGTTGGGGTTTTTTTTTGTTGTTTTTTGTTTGTTTGTGTGTGTTTGTTTGTTTGTTTGTTTGTTTTTCCAGTCACAGTGATCTCCAATTTTGTAACTGTTCATTTCATTTTACAACCAGATGGTTTTCCTATGGGGATCATCATCAGGGACATGTTCATCTGGTTGAAAATGGCTAGCTATAGCTCATTTGGAAGCCAAAGTGGTTAGTCTTCAGTTCACCAGACGCGGCTAGCAGAATTTGTCTTTCTTAGGACTCTTCATATGTTTTGAAAGCTAGGAGCTGGGTCAGTGAAGTCAGTGAGAATCTTTGCAATGTGGGCTTTGACCTTAGGGCTCTGATCGGTGACCATGAGTGAAATAACAGACTATGAGCTACTTTGAAACAGCTGCCAGTAAAGCACTGTCTCTGCTTGAATAGCCTGTGGGTATCTGAAGTGGTTGTTAATACTTGGAGGAATTGGTTGTCTATTCTGAATGGCTTTTACCCTATGTCCACATAGAGCTGGGATCTCAGCTCTTCTCCTGTACTGGGCCTGGCTCAACAGCACAGAGATGCTGTTGCTTTCTAGGTCAGCCTTTATGGGAGTTTTATATGAATTATGGAATAGTTTTGTGAGGCCGCAACTGTGATTACAGGTTTAATGATGCTTTAAACAAACAAAAATGTAATGACTTCCATCAGTGTAAAACAGGAGCTTCCTGCAGGGAAACACCAATAAATGTGACTTCGCGGCAGGGGTACAGACCTGGCTGGCAGCCAGCAGTAATCGGCACACCACATAGACCTTGTGTGTTAACTTAATTATAGCACAGTGCAAGCAGCAGCTAGATAGTTTGCTGTGAGGAATCACTGCCAGCATGGCACAGAGTCCATGCATTTAAAAGTCACCCATCTGATCCATGGCTTTAGGTAGTGAGAGGCTGGGACTTTCACAGCCAGTTTAGCCTTGTGCTGTGACTCACAGCAATCTCACCTTTGTCAGGGAAGCTCGGGTGAGCATGAGAGCCTTCGAGTGGCACTGGGGGCACTTTAACCTCTCCTGTATAATTTCTGATGAGCTTCTGCCTTCTCTGCCACCTCTAATCCTCAGGAACATATCAAAGGAACAGATACTTCTGCTACTCTCTGTAATGCCGTTAATGATCAGCCACTCTGATTCCTTTTTTTTTTTTTTTTTTTTTTTTCCCACTTCATGGCTTTGGTATACCTTTTGTAAATTCCTGGAAAGGGTAAGCAATCTTATTTTGACTTCAAAATCATGTTCAAGTAAGCCTGCATCCTTCCTACAAATTTGGCTGGCACATGGAATAGATATTTACAGTTTATTTGGATACTGTGATTTTGGAGATTCTCTTTCTTTCAGTAGTGATTAGGAGCATCATCCCGAGTCAGATCCCTATGTGCTGTACCATTAACTTCAGGGAAAAAAAGTTGCTCTTTAAGAGAGCTTTTGGGTTGGAAAATTTTAAAGCAAGTATGCCCAGAAGATCAGACATGGCATCATGTAGTTGTAATAGGGTAGTTAGAATCTTTTTCCAGGAAATACACTGTCAAACAGGAGACTGTTGGTAAGAAGGCTGTGATAATGAATTCTTCCCAGTAGCTACTTGCCAGCAGTCACACAAAGAGACACTGAGCAAGGAAAGAAATAGATGGAGCAGCTACCCTTGTGTTTGCATAGGAAAGTCTGAGTTACAAGACTGTAGAACAGTCCCTTGAGCATTGGACAACATTTTTAAAGCAGAGTCCTGTGCTGGTTCTTCAGTTGCCTTGATGCAATAAGATAAAACAAGCCAGTAGCTTACTCAGCAGCTATTCAGTGCTTCAGCTATACACGCAGCCTTTCCATATGCTTTGTGTCTCTCATCAGGCAAAAAAATGTCATGAGAACAAATACTTTATTTAAAGTCTCTTTGGGACCCAGAATTTCATAGATGGCTAGGAGAAATCGGGGAACAAACTTAGCATTTTCAAAGCTGGAAGCTTGTCTTTGATTAAAGTTTAACAGGGGAATTTCAGGAATTAGTATGATAGTGAAAATCTTGGGTTGTATTTTGTTGTTATTTGCATGATGCTAGTTTCGCACCTGAGGTATTCCACTGAGTTTAATAATGTTTCTGCTGACCTTTTCAAAAGGGAGGCTCAGATAGGAAGCACTGTTTGAAATTCTCCAGTTTGTGTTCTGTATAGGTCTTGGCTATGTGAACCCTGTGACCCCAAAACCTGTGGGTTTTGATGGAGTAGATAAGAAGAGAATGAAACCCATTTAATTTCCCTACTCCCTGAGTTTAAGGATCCCACCACACTGGAGGACTGTTAGTCTGTGTAACTCTGAGGTTAGTATTTTAGTCTCTGTTTTGTGGTTGGAGACGTAGTGGTTTAGGGCAATTGCATGTCTTGCTTCAGCACATAACAGTCTGTTTGCAGAGTGGGGAATGCAGCTCATAATCTCTTGACAGCAGTTCATCAGTCTTGTACTTGCACAGAGACCCTTAGCTTGAGAAGTTTATTCCAATAAAACAGCAGATGAAATGTATGACTGTTAATACAGGTTCACTGTTCTGTGAGTCTAGTGCATTCTGGAAGGAAAGGAAAGGTGGCCAGAAAGTTCTGTCAGACTGCTTTGGAATACATGTATTTCCAGAAACACTTGAGTAGCACTGGGGTTTAGGGCATGTCTGTGCTGTGTAGTGGAGCAGAGACGGTTATTATGGGTATTGTCTTGCACTAGCACAGCTCTGCAAGTTTCCAGTTCTAGAGGTAGCTCAGATATCTCTGCATCAGAATCCCATTAAATAGTGTGTTTATACTCCAAGTCACTTGTTGCCAGAGGACTTAGGGTCCTAAATCTCAAAAATGTTTTTGGAAGCAGTTAGCTTCCTGTCTGTAAAAAGGGGATATGGACCGTTCCTTTGTTTGCACTTTCTGTTTATGCAACAAGGAGCAGGTGTATTGTTACGGATCCCTACCTCAGTTGAGGTCTCTACAACAGAAGATTGTCTTATGCTACTTGCAGTACTAACTAATTCAGCTCCAAAAGGAGGAGCCTTAAATTTTATTTGCTGTTTTCTTTCTCCTCCTGAGTAGTTCCACTAATGACCGTTGTTAAGATCATGAATATGTTTATCTTCCTGGTGTAAGTGTGCAACTTGCTCTCAAATCATTGCCTCATCACTATCCTGTCTGGAGAGCCATCAAACTTGCAGACAAAGGTCATATTCCCCAATTATTCTTCTAAAAGACAGAGCAACTAATGCCTGCTTCTGCTTCTCACAGAGTTTACACCTGCAGTGCCTTGCTGTAATGTGTTCTGATGTTTCTTCTAGGGATTTGTGTCATGTATGGAACAGTACCGAAGAATTGGGCAGGAGCTGTATGCCTCTTTGTACAAGAACCATGTACAGGTAAAGAACAGGAATATTGTGCAACAGCTTTCTGTTGTTGAAAGGATGCTCTTGGACTACCCTGAGAAATGTGGCATTTCAGAAGTGAGATGAGTAGTATGCCCAAAGAAACGCTGAGAGTTAATGAGTCAATACTCTGTTCCTGACATCACCCATGAAGTGTGATATAGCATCACTCACCAGATTCTTCACTTTATCTTTAAGAGCCTTTTTTCTTTTGTTTAAATGAATTATTCCACTCCTACAGTGGCAAAAATGAAAGTGAGGACTTTGACCTTTTTTCTCAGCAGCCAGTAAAATTTTTCAACAGGTCTCAAGCTCGTAGTCAGTAAAATCTCACAGGTATGTTTTTGTTTCAGGATTGGCCATCAGAGACCAACAAGCTTTTCATTCTTTGAAATTCTCACCTCTTCTCTCCTTTAAATCGATATTTTAGTGTACCCCAACTCCCTGCACACACCTCCTAAGCAGAAATAATTAAATTTATGCCATTCTTGGAGGGAGCACAGTACACTTCTGACTGACACTTTCAGACTGTGTTTTCAGCGAGCGTGGTTGTTGCCATTTGAGACAAACATTCACCAGAAAAAAACTGGAGTGAATAAAACCTGTGATGCTGTTCTCCTGACTCACTGCTTTTGAGTTGGAAATCTAATGAAAGCAGCCATTTTCAAGGAGGTTGAAGGTTGTAACATGCTTGTATTTGTCACTGTATCTTAGTTTGACTAGTTGTATCTCCCACAGCATACTTTCAGTGGTCAGTTGGACCTGTGTTTGCTGGGTTTGCAGTGCTCCCTCTGCAGGGGTCCCATCTGGTAGGTTGGGTAGATCCCTCTGAATCACTGGGGTGGTGCCACTGCTAGGTAGGAGGACGGAAGTGTGCAAAAGGTGGCACAAAGTGGTTCTGTCCCACAGATGTTGCAGTGTGGTTACAGCAAAGCAGCCAAGGACTGGATGATACTTGAGGAGCAACTTTTCTACAGAAGAGGCCTGTGGAGATATGCAGCACGATCCTTAGAGCCACGATGGATTCTTGATTGTTATGAAGGGCCTTCGCGAATGAGGAGGAGGATTCAACGTGTGAACACCCGAGTGGCAACTATGCGAATGAAGAGTGAGGTAGAAAGCTTTTGCAGGAGGTGCACAATTTCTGTAGCAGTTGCTAGTGACTTTATACTCACCTCTTTCCTCTGGTTCTCATCACCTGATTCATCAGCATGCTGTGCCACGCATAAAGAACCCACTGAATGGGTCTGGTTTTGAGAGAGTAAGAGGAGTTGCAATGTGTTTAGCAGCAACAGAATGATTTTCCCTCTTTTCTGGTATAAGATCTCCCCAGAAAGATGAGATTATAACCCAACCATACTTTTCTGCTTGTAGTATCTCATGAGTATAGCTCTTCCCAATGTATGCAACAGAGCCCACTTAGAAGGCTGCACTGTTCTGTTAGTCTTATGCTTGTCAGGGCTGCTAGAACTGGTGGATGATCAAAAGGGGAATTAGACTGGTTTGAACTAAGCATTGAAGTGTATATGTGTGTATTTACAACTGTCTACCTCTGTAGTGTCTAAGTGCCAAATCCTATCAACCAAAGCTGAAGCACTTTAGTATATCAGGAGGTTCCCATCTCTAGGACATTTTCAGCCTTTATGTGAAGCTTGGATTCTGGTAGTTTTCTGTAGGCTGGGTGGTATGTTTTTTATCCTATAACTGGCCTCATGCAGGGTCGTCTTTGAAAAGACAGTAGTCCTTTTGGTTAATTGTTGACATTTGTTCCTACATTATATTGTTCCTTTGGGTCCTTTCAAATGAGTTTATTTGAATTTCCAAGGCATTTATTTGCAATGTAGTTCTAAATCTGTGTTTTTCTCTGCAACAATATTCTGAGTTATGTTTACCTGTCTGCATATTCCACTCTAGTCATACCTAGTCTCTTTTCAGGTTCTCCTAGCAAACAGAAATGAAACAACACCCCCTGCTGAAGTAAATCCAGGTAACCTTTTAGGCCTAAATTACATCATCAAGAGGGTGGACACAAACAGCCAAAGAGAACTGGAGTTAAGTGTATGGAGTTCCAGGTCAGAATTTCATCTAGTGAAAAAAACTTATTGTCAGTGCTCTGGGCTAAAAAGTCACTGGGAAAAGTCTGGGAAAAGACTGATGCAATTGTTAGAGGTGGTACATAAATTGTCTTTAGAATTTGTTGCTCTCTTGTTGCCACCAGAAAGATCTGAAAGCAAAAAAGCTATCTTGAAATGAAAGCTTTGGGCATTCTTGGGCACCTGGAAAGCTCCTAACTGCTTAAACTCAGAAGGAAAAATGCAGACTCTCCCCCTGCTTTTAGTAGACACTCCAGTTCTGCCTCTGAAATAGTATTTAAAACCAGGTGATAGATGGCTATTACCACTTGGTAATGGGAATTGTAACTTTCTGAGAATGTGGACAAAATAATGGAAAGCGGAAGGAAATCATCAAGAATATTAACATTTCAAACTGGTTTTCAACATTCAAAATAGAACCAGATTTTTCAAAATATGATCATTATGTCAACATTTTTCATTTTCCAAGGCCAAGTTTTCTGTTATGTGAGACAGTAAAAGAAGAGGGGAGGGGGGATGAAGTATGGTATAGAAGTCAATAGTTTTTCAGAGGGGGGTGGAAACATTGAGAAAGAACTGTAGTTTGGCAATGTCAACCAAGTCTAAGGCTGTGGATTTCAACCATCTGTATGGCTGCTCCAGGTCAAGCTTCTAGTGTACACTGTTGGAAATAGGCAGTATTGTCGGGGGTTTTTTAATGTGATAGGGCCTAGCAAACAAGTGAGAGTGGAGCTTGTTGTTCTAGACTCCAAACAAGACTGAAGTACTACACAGTTTCTGCATGAAAGTGGTTAGTCTACCTCAATAAGAAGGCTGATCATGCCTTCCCTAACTGTGTGAACTGCGTGAATTTGCAAAACTTGGGACACAGCAAGATATGAGTGGATTGTCACTCCTTGGGTTCTCTTAAGATCCTGCTCAGTTCATGTCCCCAGAAGACTACCATTTTCAGTTTTTCCTAATTTCCTAATGTTCAGTGATTGTAGGAATTTAGTTTGAATTATGACTGAGTCCAGCTACCTGTATTTAGTTCCCTGAACTAAGCATCTTTCCTTAGCACTCACAGATTTTACTTCTCTCTTGCCTGTTTTTTGCAGATAAATAATGTTATTTCCCAAGGTAGAACAGATTGGGTGAAAGTCTAAATTGCAAATGCTTTTGGTGTCATTCGGCTGCCACTAAAACTGCAATCTCTTTTATACTGATATAGGAGAGCTGAGGTTAAATGGAGCAGAAAGGGAGATGGATAAGAAGGGATTGGATTGCAACCAGCTAACGTTCTTCCCTGCACTACACGAAAGTTTCCATTCAGAAGACTTCTTGGAACTGTGTGTGGAGAGACAAATTATACTGCAGGAGTTTGCAGAGAGTGAAAAGGTAGGAAAGATGAGCTAGAAAATTTTCTCGGGGGGATGGCATTTTAGAAGGTGAACTGTATTTGGAGGTCTATCTGTTCCTTTCAGTTTGGGGTTCAGGTGGATTCTGGCTACAGTAAACATCATCACTATTTGTTTCCTTAGAGCAGCTGAAATTTTCCAGCCTCTGTATGAACTCCTATATAGACTTATTCTTGAAGAACATTTAACATTAACTCTTTGAAGTAACAGAAAAAAAAATGGGGCATGTGACGAAGGTATTCTTGTACCTGTGAGACAGTATTGTCTGAATTTGCCTAAGACATGGCAAATTATGAGACTCTGAGAATCCTGTCCTGCTTCCCCACCTTTACTCATGCTCAGAGCAGTGCCTGGATCAAATTTATTTATTACTTCTGGAAAAGTGTGCCAATTTTGTACAGGTTGTTAGTTCAGTGATGTTTAAATCTCTTCCTGATGAATACCAGAAAACATTTCCTCCTCCCTTTGCATGCCTTTTTCCTCTCTGCTTCCCCATGACTACTGAACAGATTGTTCCCTCTAATGCCATAGACACTTTCCCTGCTTCCTGTTTGATGTTTCCATTGTGTGTCATCTAGTCAAAACAGTGCTGTTCCTTCTTTGCTCTTGTACTGGACTAGATGGCCCTTCTCCCAGGTTTCTTCCCAGCATAAGGAAGAGGCAGGTTCAGGAACACTGAGGGAGGACATGAGCTGGGGAGTAAATGGGGGTGACTCTGTTAGGGGGATGGTAACTTTGGTCTGGTGTTCTCATTTAATCCCTTGGCTCAAAAGCCAGCAACCTGCCCTTTGCTCTCAGCATAGTCCCCACAAGGGTGATTCCAAATCAAATCCTTGATGTTGGATATGCACTGCATATAGCCATTTTCTGCAGGACTATGAGAGATTTTGTCATGAGTAGTAGACCTGGCCTCATTCTCTGATCTTTTGAAGTCTACCTGTTTCTTCCAGTTGCATCATTCCCCCTGTTGGCCCAAGTGTTAGCATCCCATAGTGGAAGCCAAGGGTCAGACTTGGAGTATTTAAACTCAGCCATCAGAGTGCTGTGATAGTTGTATATAGATACAGAAATAATTATTTTATTTTTGTGTCTCAATACCATCACCAAATTTTCTTGATGCTTTGCCAGTGGCCAAGGGTCACATTTGTGCTCTCTAACATGATGGCTTCCTCATGCTATTAGAGCTGTTGGTACACTGTCTATAATTCATTTCCCTGCCCCTCCTCCTTTTCTCCTCTCCCCCCAAACCTCTCCCCAGGAGAAGGAGACAGGCATGAAAATGTGAGGCATGTTTTCTGTGAGCTGATCTCATTTTGAGCCTTCAGGCTGTTTGTCTCTTCTCCATGTAACTCCACAGGAAGCCGTCAGAAACGCCAGGCATGTTTTTTTCCAGCAGCAGTCACTGTGTTGCTGAGCTGACAGAAGTATTAAAAAAAGCAGTAGGGGGTGACATTAGCTGTCCTGCGCTCACTTAGTGCGCTGCGGTCCTGCCTTGTAAATGGCTGCCTTGTGAGCTGTTTGCACTTTAAGCAGGCAACTGGAACCATCTTACCTACTGCACTGCACAGAAAAGACATTGGGATGCTTTGGCAGATACTAGGTTGATTTCTGGAGCACAGGGATAGCCCTTGTCTGGAAAGTGATTGTTGTTTTATAATGTCACCCAGTGCTATTTTTTTGCATTACCGTTAAACAGACACCTTTGTATGTATTCAGATATGAGAGATGGCTTTTTGCAGAAGCAGCAGATCAAATGCTATTGACATTGTCTGTTGGTTCAGAGTCTGTTCTTCAGCAAGTTAAATCAGGAGAATATGGGTGCAGATGGGGTATTGTTATGCTAATATCATCAGTCTTTTGTTTTATCTTACTTGAAAAGTAGAATAGAAAACATTTCTAGGCATTCCTGTGAAAATAATTTTAAGTATTTCAACAAGGTAAGTTTACCACTTGGACTGCAAGAGAAAGGGACTATAAAGGAGAAAGCAAATCAATATAGTTTAAGTATAGGCTAAAGGAAGCTACTGAGTGGTTAGTCCCTGAGGGAGGGGAGACTAATTGTATGAGGGAGCAGTCATGCTCTGTGTGTTTGAACAGCACCCAGACCATGCAAAGTCCAGCCTTTAGATATGTCCTTTTTTGTCACTTTTTTTATGCAAAAAACTACCCACAGAGGAATGCATTTCCCAGATTTCAAAGTCAAACACTCTGAATTTAGGAAATGCCAGAAAACAAGAAATTAATGCCACATCTGTGCAATTACAGCCCTTAATGACATAATCACTTGCTGATTTTACCGTAAGACTATCTATTCTGCTTTACCAGTACATAGACTGGAAGGTATGTCCATCCAAATCCATACCTTTAAAGTAGTATTTAGTTGTATTGATCATAAGTCTGTCTCTTCCAGCCAGGATCCTTGTAATACATATAATTGCATGTTCTGTGTTCTGTAGCAAGCAGGAATGCTGTAGATTCCAGTCATCTTCCTTACACAGTGTTAATTTGTTACTGGAATATGTCCATCCTCAGCAGGCTCTATGAAAAGAATAGTATTTAATCCTGTAGTTACATGGTAACATAATGCATTCACAAAGGTGCTGAATTCAGGCTGACTTTTGAGGGTTTGACTTTGCAATCATAATAATGCTTTCTTAAATTTTGTGTGACATTCCCAAAGCTTGAAAATGGAGGCCTCTATCAGACCTCCCAAGAATAGCAGGCCAATGGCAGGATTGCTGAAAATTACAGGTATCACACTGTCATCTGCTGGAGAAAACACCTTTAGAGCCTTTCAGGCCTTTATAATAGCTTCTGCCAAGTGGCAGCTGGAGGGGATAGTAGGAGTATGTTTGATCCTGGATATGGACCTGTCCTGTAGAGGGAGGAGGTTGCAAAGGAAACACAAATCTCCTCCACCGTGTGTCCCAGCCCTTCCTTTGGGAGGGAGAGCGTGTTGTGGTGAGCACATTTTCTTTCCTGATTATTTGAAGTTTAGCCTCAGCTGTTGTGACCCTCTTAGCTGCCCCTGAATTCCTGCTGTGTTTGAGCTATCTACCCCGTTCTCCTCACCTATATAGTACAGCCTCCAATTCTCAGGATTCTTGATCTCATCCTATTTCACTTGCCCAGAGAGTCCTAGTCTCTCCTCTACAGTCACCCTACTCTAGATGTAGTGTCATTTCTAGTTATATGAAGCTCCTTGCTGTTCTTTCCCTGTTTCTTTCTATATTCTGCACCAGTTTTCCCTAGTCCTCAACAGCTTTCAGTGATCTGCTAGATGCAGATTGAAAAGCCAAAAACCTTGTATGCAGTGTTGGTGAAATGCAAGATACAGAGGGCCATTGTTGTGTTTTGTCTCTGTGGAGGTACATAAAGAAGTGGGTGTTCAGAGGAGTTGTAGATGTTTGTGGCTCACCCACACACTCAGAGTCTGGGCACAAGGGATGGAGGGTCAGGGTAGTTGTTTGCAGACTAAAGCAGAATGGTGGGCTGGTAGCTGAGGTATTTTGTTGCTTCACATCCTCCCTTACAGATGGCCCCAGCAGGGACCACTTGTGAAAGCTGGGCAAAAGGACTGCTCTTGGTGTGCTTGGGACAAATGTGACTTTGAAGTCAAAGTTGGGAGTTGAGTCACCTTATTGCTGAATGTTTGGAACTGGTGCTGTAGTTACAGTAGTGTAAAGAAGTATCTATGTGTATATGCCCAAAGCAGCACAAGGTGTTTGTTTTGTCCTGCACACAAGTTGATGTGTGTAATTCACTAGACGAATATATCAGTCTGCAGGTGCAGATTTACAGGTGCTGCTGTCAGGCTTGTCCTCATAGAAGTTACTGAACTGTCATACTCTGGCTGTTTGGTTATACATTTTGCTGAGGCTCTGTTAAGATTATAATGTGCACAGTGAAGATTATATTTTGCATGTATCTTTAGTATACTGAGACTGTACACATTACAGGCATGGAAGGACAGGTTATATGTGATGTGGGTGATGTTACACAACATGTGCTGCTGCAGAATTTTGCAAGAGAAATGCAAATAGGAACTTGTCCTGAACTGATCTATCAACTTGCCTACCAAAAGCCAGAGCCAACCCTTTAAATAACTCTGGTTTTACCAGCAGAGACAGGGAGATTGCATTCCTTATCTGCAACCTGAGTCCCAACTGCAAGATTGCTCCCCTGATCTTTACAAGCCTAAAGTAGTCCTACCAGGTTGTTAATGTGCAGTTAGCATGTAATAGATGAAGAAAATGTTGGAAGGCTTGGGGAATGGTTTTGGTGTAGAAATTGTGACTTTTGGGGAAAAGTAAACCTCTGTTTGCCAGCAAGTCATTCAAGATGGTAAGAAATCCAAGCAGCTGGGGTAAAGAATCTGAAGTTAACAAGAGGGCATGGCCTAGCAGAAATCTGGGCACAATGCCTTTCCTTGAAGGAGGGGCTGGAGAGAGCACAGGAGATGCCAAGAACAATAGCAGAAGGGACTAGCATAAATCAGAGGGAGTGGGATCCATGGTTGGGAGAAAAGAGCTGATTAAAGAACAGGCTCAACTGAAAGAGGAAACAGCTATAAAGGTCAGCATCTAGGACCTGCAGAATGGTGCGGCAGCTCTGCATCCACTTGTGGACCCAATGTTTTTAGGGGCATTGCACATACCTCACAGCTATGAATAGAATAGAATAATTTCAGTTGGAAGGGACCTACAGTGATCATTAAGTCCAACTACCTGACCACTTCAGGGCTGACCAAAAGTTAAAAGCATGTTATTAAGGACACTGTCCAAATGCCTCTTAAACACTGACAGGCTTAGTGCAGCAACCATCTCTCTAGGAAGCCTGTTCCAGTGTTTGACCACCCTCTCGGCAAAGAAATACTTCCTCATGTCCAGTCTAAGCCTCCCCTGGCACAGCTCTAAACCATTCCCATGCGTCCTATCACTGGATACCAGGGAGAAGAGATCAGCACCTCCCTCTCCACTT